TCTCTCCTCTCTACTCTCTCTCTCTCTCTCTCTCTCTCTCTGGGGTTTTATTATTGATTTTTGTTGATTGACTTAGTGAAAATGAATCTGATTATGTGAATGTGTATAGCTAAAAATATGTATTCTTGGAAGTTAATTTCTATGTGTTTCAGGTGTATGATCTCCTTAGAAATAGTGTAACAGTTTATTGATAGTTAGAAGATAGGAAACCAAATCTGGTGTTCTTCGTCTATGCGAGCAAAATTCAAACAAGAAATTTAAGGATAGTTAGAAGATAGGAAACCATACGGTGCAACGATCTGCATGACTGTTGGTTCAAATTTAAATGTCTAATTATTTAGATCCAATGATCATGTAGCCTGCTCTTCTAAAAGAAATATTGAATTGTTTCTCCTATGAAGCACAGACTCCGACACGGACATTGAGACACGATACGACACAGACAATTAGACACCGATAATATTAAAACATAGGACACTGACACTGCTATATATAAGAGAGTATTTAAGCTTTAATTATCCATCTATGATTAAATATTTGAAAATATTCTAATTAAAATTAATGTTTTTAATAATAACGCGGTTAACAATTTTAAATTTATGAGACTTGTCCAAAATATGTATAAAAAGTGTGTTGAAGTAAAGAATTTTTTTGTTTAAAACACTTGTCTGAATTGTCAAATATACGTGTTATGAGTGTCGTATGGATGTCAACCACTGATTCGAAGAGTGTCAAAATAAAGAAAAAACCATTTTTTAGCGGACACTTGTCTGACTTTTTCAGACACTTCTTTGACTTTTCTGACACGTGTCGTACGGGTGTCATACAAGTGACAAAACACCGACGTGTGTCAGACACCGTGATACAGAGGTGTTCATGTTTCATAGTGTTTCTCCCTTGCTCTTTTTTTTGAGGTTTACATTTGATCTTTTGTCTAAGAAGATTCACACTTAAAGCCTAACTTTAAAAGTTTCCAAGTAAATAAAATAGCGGAAAGAAATTATGCACCATGTATATTACTGCACCATGTATATTAGTGCTAATTAAATTCTGAACACAACGGTGTTAGAGTCTTGTAGCAATTGTTATTTTGTAAGGGAAATATTGCGTGTGAACTACAAAGTGTCAATTCAATATATCTTGGAATTTTGTGTATTTTTTTCTTTGAACAATCTTAGGATAATTGTGAATTGTAGTATAATTACATTTGTGATTCCTTCTAAAATAAGTATAAGATCTCTATCTTGCAAACTGTTTTTTGTAATGCAAACACTAATTTTTCATTCTATAAAAATGATTAAACTTTATAAATAAAAAAAGTTTATTCACATCCTCTAGATCGTTTCTCTATTCCATACTCCTACTCAAATAGTTAATTCCCAAATTTCCAAATAGCTAAGCCCAAATTCATGTCAATCCATTCCACATGACTCAAGGTATAAAAGTCACATCACGCAAAATACAAGGTATACTTTCTGATCTCCACTTTTTACTACACTCATTTTGCAACGAAGTATTAGAGATCAACATCGTCAATTTAGGATTGCACATCATCAACTTAACCTATTTCTGGTTCTATAACGAAACTTTTGAGAATACAGGAGGAAGTGAGAAAATTTTCAAACAATTAAGTACCTTTAACAATTGTTATTGCAACTAGCATGACATGTGTTATGTGCTAGTGTATGTTGGTGTACAAGAAGGGAAAAGATGAAGTTGATGAAGATGGAAGAGAGATAAGAGATAAAATTTGTAAGTAACTTTTCTAACAGAATTTTAAAACTCGATTATAGATCAATTATCATTTTTTACAAACTAAAACCACACTTGGTTTATATACTAATAAGAACCTAAAGCAAATTCAAATTCAAGCTAAATTAAACTCAAATATAAATGAATCTGAATTATATCTAACATCATCCCTTAATTCATATTCAGCTAATCAAAATCAACAACACCAATTTCATTTCTCAAATGGATAAAATGGATAATCTTGATTGCTTCTTCCATGCAGCACATGATTCTTTGAAAGACTTATAGTTGATTTCTTGTTAATCATCAACTTCACATGCTTGCTCACCTTAATCTTAAGATCCTATAGTAAGTTCAGAATCCATACAGCTTGATAAGCAGACAAAGCACCTACAATATACTCAGCTTCACAGGTTGACAATACAACCACTAGTTGCTTCTTGAAGCACCAAGAAATGAGACCTCCAAGATACTTGAAAAAAAATACAAAAGTACTTCTTCTCTCAACTCTGACTTCCCACCAATCAGAGTCTGAATAACATATCAACTCTGAATCGGATTCAACACTAAAAAATAACAAAACTCCATACTTCAGAGTCCCTTTAATATACCTCGGTATCCTAAAAGTAGCTTGGTAATGTGACCACTTTGGTTTGCTCATAAACCTACTCATCATCACCCTCAACAACAGATTCTAAATTGTGATTTGTTTCAATAGGTGTGATTGCAAACTTGCAATTCATTAGCTCAAATCTCTTTAGAAGTACAAGTTCATACTTCAGCTGATGCAAGATTATACCCTTATTTGTGTACATAATCTCCATCCTTAGAAAATATGACATATTTCCTATTTCAGTCATCTCAAATTCATTCATCAACACCTTTTTGAACTTATCTACCTTATCTGAACAGCTCCCTGTTAGCAATATGTCATCAACACAGAGACACATCAGAAACATATTGTTATCAGGTGTATTATGAACATAAACACCATACTCCGTCTAACATTTTCTGAATTCTTGAAGTTTGAAAAATGAATCAATCTTCAGATTCTAGGCTCTAGGAGCTTGTTTCAGTCCATACAAGGCTTTATACAACTTGTACACCATCCCTTCCTAATTATTTTTCAAAAATCCTTGAGATAGTGACACATAAAATTTCTCTTGTAAATAACCATTCAGAAGTGAAGACTTCACATCTAAATGCATCAAAGGTCAATTTTTATTAGCAATTATAGAAATCACTAGTCTGATTGTTTCATGTCTAGTTACAGGAGTAAACACTTCAAAGTAGTGTAAACCAAATTTCTGTAGAAATCCCTTAGTTACTAATATTATTTTGTGTTTTCCAATTCATCCATCTGGCTTTAGTTTAACCTTATAAACCCTTTTCACATTGATGGATTTCTTGTCCTTTGGAAGCTCAGTCAACTCTCAAGTCTCGTTTCTTTCTATAGCCTCAAGTTCTTCTTTCATGGCCTTCAACCATACTTTCTTCTTGAGAGATTCTTCAGTGCTGACTGGTTCAGAGTTTACCAACATGACACACTGAATGACTTCCCCTTCAGAGTCTATCTCAGTATCTTGCAACATGTCAAACTCTGTAAATCTTCTTGATATTTGTTTTATTCTTTGTGGTCTCTTGATTTGTTTAGAATATTCTTTAGATGCTGGAACAGTATTAGATGCTTGACTACCTTCATATGCATGAAACACCTTTAAAGTAATGATTACCACCAGAGTCTGGATCATCATCAGAATCTGGATCAAAATCAGATTGACCTTCAGAGTCAAATCCACCATTAGACTCTTTTTTAACATTATAGTCACCTTAAGACTCTGCCTCATCTTCAAACTCAAAATCTCCTTCAGAGGCAGATTATCCTTCATAGTCTGAAATATCTTCAGAAGTTAACTTAGGTGTTAACATTGCACCAGAGTTGGATTGAGACTTGTTCTAATCCCATGCTTTTTATTCTTTCAAAATGATATCTCTACTGAATTCAACTTTGTTAGTGACAGTACAATATATCTTATAAGCATCTGTATTGTGGTATCCTACAAGCAACATAACTCTACTTCTGTCATCCAACTTCTTTCTCTTAGCATCTGGGAGATGTTTATAACAAATAGAACCAATCGCCTTCAAATGGGTCACAATCTTAGGAATGCCATGTGCCATCTCCTTTGAACTCAAATACCCTAAGCTTTTGAAGTTCAGATGCTCCGATCTATTTTGTCACAGCTCACTGTCACCTTCAACACCTTCTGCACTAAGACATTTATTTAGTTTAAGTTGTTTCCACATGTACTTTGAATGTTATGTTCCTTCCCTGTTCAGACTGTATAATCAGCTTCTGATCAGAATCATATAACTTCAAGAGATTGTCCTTAATATTAACTAATTAGAACCTAAAATAAATTCAAATACAAACTAAATATGAAATATATCTATGTACATATATATCGATAAAAAAATAATTAAAAATGTTTTTCTTCGGTATAAAACTACAAAATTTCATTTTTCATTTTTTAATTAGATAAAAAATTTATTAAGTATTAATACCCTAAATACGAAGTTAGTTTAAATTTAGTGTAGAAAAATAAAATAAAATAAAATAATAATAATATGATTTTAAATAATTAAATGTAAAGTAGGATATCCATGAGGACTCCGGTAAGATTCCAACATGAGTCACAGGATTGTGGGTAAAAATATGAGTGTTTTGAAATGTGTAATAAAGTTTTGTTGTAGGGTTGAATGAAGTTTGAAATAAAAAAGAATGGTTTATAGTTGTATTAAGGATTAGAAATGCATATAATGAATGAAATAATGAAGATATTGTTAAATGACGTATAGTGTGACGTGGTTGAGGCTCCGAAAATAGTATTAGTTTGGGGAGGAAGCAATTTGTGTGGAATGTTAAAAAAATAAAAGCAGACATTTGTGGGGTCATAGAGTTGGTTTTGTAGAATACAGTGAGATTGGATGAGAAGAAGATAGAGAGGGTAATGCTCCTCTTGACTTTGTCTTCCAAATGAAAGTAATAAACAAGTATCTGAGAAAGAGAAAGGAAAGTGAATGACATCATCTTGTCTTGGTGAATACTCAGTCAAAGTCCAACGTGGAGGGAGGGAGGTTTGAATCAACTCTTCCTCCTTCCTCTTTTTATTATAACATTCACTCTTTCCTTTCTCATCATTCTAACACAAACTTTCCTTCTTTCTATCTTCTCACAAGCATCAATAATGACTGCCTTGTCCCCCACCGCTCAGAATCCCATTCAATCCACGGCCATTGATATAACCGGCAAGATCATGGTTGTTATCATTATTATTCTCTTCTTGTTTGTTGTTACTTTTCTTTTCTTCCATCTTTTCGCCAAGGGATTTTGGTGGTCCCATGATACTCACGCAGACAACGATCCCCAATCCCGCCGCCGCCGCCGTGGTCAACAGGGTGGCGTTGTTGGAGAAGGAGGTCTTGATCCTTTGGTACTCGAGTCCCTGGGCGTATCGGTATTCAATAGGGAAAAAGATGGTTTGGATTTGGAGTGTTCAGTTTGTCTATCGGAACTAGTGGAAGGAGAAAAAGTGAGGGTTTTGCCAAAATGCAATCACAGGTTTCACATAGATTGTATTGATATGTGGTTCCAATCTCATTCAACCTGCCCTCTTTGCAGAACAACACTTGCTGCTACTCCTTCTCCTTCCCTAATACTTGAAATAGAACCTTCGTCTCCCGCTGCTTTTCCCACTAATGTTTTGATTTGGGGAAATCACAACCAAACCATCTCCTCTACTACTAGTTCAGAACAAAACACTGAGGGAATGTTGAGGATTGATATACCCAATGACACTGAGTGCGAGGCTACTAGTTCATCATCGTCAGAAGGAGGGAGATTAAGGTCGTTGAAGAGGCTTTTAAGCAACAGCAGACTAAATCCATGGAGTCCAACTGCTGCTGCTACATCTCTCCAACAACAAATAAAAGCAAAGGAATCAGCAGCACAACACAGCTGAGCTACCTATACTGTGTTTGGAACTCCAATGTTTTTATTCATTCATTATCCCTACTTTCATTACTTTTTAACTGCTTCTCTGTGTGTATATACGCCCGCCCAATTCAGGCAGCGGCAATCAATCCACTTTCTTATCTTTGCTACTTATATCCTCTCTTTTTAAATATAATTGATTCTATCTCTAAAATTCATTTTACTTGAAGCTATAATAATTTGTAATTTTTTAATTTAAATTTAATTTTTACATTAAAATTTATTATTTAATTCACTTTTATATAAATACATTCAAATATAAATCACTTTTAATTAAAATTAATTATAGAACGATATACACAAGTTTTATTACACTACATGACTAACCATGATACACATAGCAAGTAATGTTATGCTCCTAAAATCAATATTACAACCACACTCATCCAACTCTACAACATTTTCTGTGTTTAACATGGTCAAATTTAGTTACATGTTTATTCCACACTTGTTTGAAATAACTTATTAAATAGTTTAATCCAACCAAGTATCGTCAATAATAATCCATTCAATAATTGAATAGCTTTCGACCCAAATCAACATCATCCTAGTAGAATATAAAATTATTTGAAATGACGCATGAGTGTTGTAAAAAAGTTTATGTTACTCTGATGTGAGGTCTTTTTGCCAATTTCTCCATTTTAAACATCATTACCTCTCCTATTTTATTGAAATATTATCTAAAGTCGCTACCTTTACGCCTAAAAGTTGGAAAATGTCCTCAACACGATTTCATAATTAACATTAGGATTAAAATAATATGGTAAAGTCCTTCTTGTTTTGATCTTTCATTCCTTTTGGTATCATATAAGTGTAAATAAGGAAAACAGTAGACTTCCAAGAAAGTTAGAGCTTATAGGTAACAATCATGTGGCTGCTGATCACATGACCTCTCGCTAAAGCTTTTGTCTCCATTTTCATCAAAACCAGAGACAGAACATGAATCCAATGGGATCAGATCAGATCCTAGCGTTTTGGTTTCAAAAGCAACCACTGTTCACATGAACAATACCATTAAGACATGCTCCTCTTTCGGTCACTTTTATTATCTACTACTCCCATACCATAACAACTGCACTCTTTGCCTTCTCTCAAGGGGATTCTTGGACGAAATTTTTCTATATTTTGCAGTAACTAAATGCTTACAACAGGTGCTAAATGGTACAAAACTACTAGAAAAGCGGAAATAAATTAATCATTTTCCTTGAAATTCAACAAACAAAATTGTCATCTGCTCTACTCATCTGATGTTCTTAATTTCTTCCCAGAATCCTCTGATACTTCACGGTTTCTATGTCGTTTCTTTGCACTTTTCCTGTCTACCTCCGTAGCAGCTCTCAACCTTTTCTTTCTTTGACCTTTTCTTTTTCCTACTAGACTCATCTTCATTTCCACCAATCTCAGCATTTTTCTTGTTTTTCTTTGCTTTTTTTGGGTTTCTGTTCAAGCTATCCGTGCTCAGAAATGATGAAGAACCAAGTGATTGGTCAATTTTTTTTCTCATTTCCTTCACATTATTTGGATTAGATTTATTATTTGAAACGTCAGCAAGAAAACCATCATTTTTGGCTGATCTTTTATCGCCAGAGCCAAACGTAGCATAAAAATCTTTATAAGTAGACTCTTTTGATACTTGCTTTGACCTCCAATGATCTGGACCCAATAACCATAAACCAAATTCCTATCCAAATTAATCCAAATTTTAAAATCCAAACCAAATTTATATTTTAAATTTGGTGGCCCATTTATCAAATTAAATGAAAACCGGTAACCATTTGTTACAAACCGGTTTGAGTTTTGGTAACCATTTTTCAATAAACTTCAAAAACAAAAATAGAATAGTTTGGGAAAATCAAGATCAACACAAATTTTAGAAATCCTAATCCTCAAAATCCAAATTTTATTCATCTCTTTCTTCTTCATCATTCTTCAAATTTCAAACTTTAATCTCATTTGTATCTTAATTCCCTAAATCACAATCATTAGTTTTTGATAAATTGATGATAATTAACAGTTAATGATGATTAATAGATGCTAATTTCATCAATGATTTTAATCAAATGAATCAAGAAAAACATATATATCCCGCTGTCATGGTTGAATAATTATGCATGTGTGAATTCATGTAATTGTAATTTTGTTTATACAATACTGTTTGTGAAGTGTAAAGTTTAATTATTCATGTATCTTCACGTGAGTTTGATAATGATTTGATTTTAATTTTCTCATAGGAACAATAGTCTTGATAAGTTGGTTTGTCATTGTGGAGATATTAATCTATTTTGTGTGAAATTGTGTTTTTGATGATTAAGAGGGAAAATGGTTTTGCGGAAAGGTTTAGATTATTTAAAATAAAAAATTAGTTTTTGAGAGAAACCGGTTTAAAATTGGTTTTTAAAAAAACTATTTTTTTTAAAACCGGTTTGAAACCGAACCAATCCACTTTTAAACCGGTTTTAAAAAAATAAACCGGTTTTATATAAATGGTTTTAAGATCCAAACCAAACCATATATGTGGTTTGGTTTGGTTTGGTTTATAATCCATGCACACCCCTATCTGGAGTTGCAGCAAATCTGTTACAATAAACCAAAAGAGACAGTATTACTACGTCAGTTTGTCATAAGTGAGACTGTAGTTCATAAACTTAAGGTATGAACAGAAAAGGCCTGAGCCCTGTTATATGATCTTATTTCTATATCTATTTATTTGGAGACCAAAGGGTCAAATTATTCAACGGAAAGTAGAAGATAGATATGGAAATTCCACAATACAGAAAATAGCCAACAGCATACCCATCAAAATCTAATCTCCTCAATAGGTAAGAGCCCTGCTTTGCCTTGGAAAGCTCACTCTGCACAGCCAATAGTTCAGACACTATAGTCTCTCTTAAAGATAGATTACAGGCAGTGAAGCACTTTTCAATGGTAAAAGCACCTGATGAGTGGAGTGCAACCTCTCCAAAATGCTTCTGCAGTCTACAAAACAAGTTACAATACACACTCAATACTCTTGAAATCTATTACATAGTAATAAATGTCTGGTTATTTTCACCTTGCTGAAGTTTAGAAAAAGGTTGCTAAAAACTATGAGAAAATAAATACACCCAACTTAGGGACTGACAACTAGAGGCCGCAGCTTAAGTATTTGGAATTTAACACCCTTTCAAATTCGGAAACAATTTTAATAGCTAATCATTTAGTGCTAGTCAAAACTCAAGAAATAATATCCAAAGAATCTTAAATCACAAAGGTAGAACTGTAACTACAAATGAAATATACTTAGATTTCAACCAAATAATTCTGATATAATGTGTGTATTTGGATAGTGTTTCTACAGTAATAAAAGACATGTTGAATGACTTTGGCTTCTATTTTCATTTATTCCTTCAGCATAAATAAAAAATTCAGAGAATGCAAATACAATAAATATAGTTGAAACTTGGAAGACATACTTTGAAACCAATCTGCGCTTCTGTTTCCCAGGAGCACCTGAACTCAAAAAAGCCTCAATGACATGTGATCCTCTAGCATTTTTCACCACTTCAAGAACATGAGTCGTGTCCATGGATGTTATACTGGTGATAAAAGGTTTTATATATTCCTGTAAAAATAAAATGAAAGACAACGTAATACAACACATGAATAACATTTTGCAATCAATACATGAAATCAAATAATTGGGAAACCTGGTACTTTTGTAGGTACTCTACCTTGCACACAGATAGGTTTAGAAGCACCACGTGTTTGAGTAATATAGCATGGATTAGTAATATATGGCAGTGTTTACACCGACTCCCATTATAAGCATATTTATTTTACTATTAGCTTTAGGAAAGAAATACGAAACTTCCTAATAAACAAGTTTATGTAAGGAAGAAACGGGATAGAAAGGTATTAACAGAATTATATAACGGATTAGTAAATTGTAATTGCCAGTAATTAATTGTTAGGGAAGTTGTTAGGCTGAGCTTATTAATAGAGGGTGAATAAGTTATAATCACTTATGCATCATAAGAATTTATTTAGGAGGACTCAGATTCCTCATTTCATCTTAGATATCTAGGAAATGAATTCCTTTGTGTATTGAAAGGGTTTATTCCCTGCAATCAATAAAAGTTCTATTACTGATCATAGTCCTATTATTATATGACTAGTACTTTTTTTTTCTATTCAAATATTGATCTAAAAGCCTAAGGAACTCAAAGAACAAACTTTTTTACGATGCCTCTTAAATTGTATTTTTCTTTGGATTAAACTTTAAGGGCCTTAGGTATTCTTCTTCTCCCTTACACGTGTGTTTTGTAATGTTGGTCGGTAGCAAGACATTTGTGCCGCACACGACCACAGGAGCAGAGTAAGAAGCCTTAAGCCCGAGAATGCAAATCTGGTTGGCAAATCCAGATTTTTTTGCCAGAAAATTCAGATTAGATTGGAAATTATGCAAATTCCTTTCTTAATTACATTTCCCCTTCATATCCTCTGGTTCGACGCTGAAGTGTCGTACCATATGTGATTTTTTCTGCGTTTCAGCACCACATCACCCACTGCTCTGGCCACACCTCTATACTTCAACACATAGAGGTGGCCGCAACCCTCTCTGCACTACTACACAGTTGTGGCGCTATCTGCCAGAATTCATAATAATGTAAAAAACTCACCAAGCTACGAGATAATTGAATTTGCATTACTACCCATAAACATACGCGAACAACGAACCATCTCTAACCTGGAAAACCCCTTGCCCTAACCACATACTTTAAGCATCCAAAAATTTTAAAGGCCACAACACCACTTGAAGGTCCTCGTATTTTCATATTGTATAGTATTCGGAGATATTTTTGTTGGAGCAATATATCCCACAGCTTTGTGTCTCTGGAATAAATTTAATCAAGATTGTGAAACCTAAGAGTCTACGTACACTCTTGAAATCTCTCTAAATTCAAGTTATAGGGTTGACACTCTGGTGGC